CCTGAGATCGAGGTTATTATTGTGCATGTTCAAAGTGGTTTTCACTGCAAGGCTAGTGCACCCCGTGTTATCATGGCTACACACTTAGACGACCTACTTTAATCAAGTCGGAAACGTTTCGGAAATAATTTTAAAACAACAATCAAGAAAGAGCAGGGTGAAGCTGATTGATAAGGGAACATAAAACAAAAGGTTTTAAATAAAGGAAAAGGTTTGGTCTAGGAAGCCCTTCAAGACCCAACCCTCGTAATATTTCTCTAAGCGTTGTGCAGCCACTAATTTATTGGCTGTAAAGCACATGTGAAAACAGTGGGACTGTGGAAGGTTTGTTTGCGATGTTGGCTCGTTTATGCATGGCCTGACATGCACCTAATTACACGTGGGATTCCGTGGGGTTTGTGTATGCAGGGTGTACAAAATGTGTGAATGATTGACCAAAGTCTGGATCTTGTACAATCCAGAACTGGAACAATGACCTCCTGTTTTCTGAAGGGAGCGATGTGTGGTTGTTGGAATGTTTTCACAAGATTTGACAGGTTTAGGACTGAGCAGAAAGTCAACAAAGTGTACTCTAGTATGCTGAAAGTTAAAGCCGATTAACAAACTGGTGTTAAATGTGATTTAAATCCAACTAGTTCATAATTTGTATGTGAGTAGTGATTTTTCAATGTTACCCAATGTATGTGAGTAGTGATTTTTCAATGTTACCCAATGTATGTGAGTAGTGATTTTTCAATGTTACCCAATGTATGTGAGTAGTGATTTTTCAATGTTACCCAATGTATGTGAGTAGTGATTTTTCAATGTTACCCAATGTATGTGAGTAGTGATTTTGTCAATGTTACCCAATGTATGTGAGTAGTGATTTTTCAATGTTACCCAATGTATGTGAGTAGTGATTTTGTCAATGTTACCCAATGTATGTGAGTAGTGATTTTTTCAATGTTACCCAATGTATGTGAGTAGTGATTTTTTCATTGTTACCCAATGTATGTGAGTAGTGATTTTTTCAATGTTACCCAATGTATGTGAGAACTTCAGCCCTGTTGGCTGGCAGAACCCTGTAGAACAGGAATACAAAGAATGACTTTAAATATGAGAACAGGTTTTGCTCCTTGTTTCTTGCAGGTAATTCGTAATGTAAGGCTGATATGATATGTATATCCTCAGTAATCAACCAAGAGTAAGTCACACACTGTAATCAACCACCAGCAAGTCACACACTGTAATCAACCAATAGTAAGTCACACACTGTAACCAACCAAGAGTAAGTCACACACTGTAATCAACCAACAGTAAGTCACACACTGTCATCAACCAATAGTAAGTCACACACTGTAATCAACCACCAGTAAGTCACACACTGTAACCAACCAATAGTAAGTCACACACTGTAATCAACCAATAGTAAGTCACACTCTGTAACCAACCAAGAGTAAGTCACACACTGTAACCAACCACCAGAAAGTCAACCAACCAGTAAGTCACACACTGTAACCAACCAATAGTAAGTCACACACTGTAATCAACCAATAAGTCACACTTGTAATTCAACCAAGAGTAAGTCACACACTGTAACCAACCAAGAAGAGTAAGTCACACACTGTAATCAACCAACAGTAAGTCACACACTGTAATCAACCAATAGTAAGTCACACACTGTAATCAACCAACAGTAAGTCACACACTGTAACCAACCAATAGTAAGTCACACACTGTAACCAACCAATAGTAAGTCACACACTGTAACCAACCAAGAGTAAGTCACACACTGTAATCAACCAACAGTAAGTCACACACTGTAATCAACCAATAGTAAGTCACACACTGTAACCAACCAATAGTAAGTCACACACTGTAATCAACCAACAGTAAGTCACACACTGTCATCAACCAAAAGTAAGTCACACACTGTAATCAACCACCAGTAAGTCACACACTGTAACCAACCAATAGTAAGTCACACACTGTAATCAACCAAGAGTATGTCACACACTGTAACCAACCAATAGTAAGTCACACACTGTAACCAACCAGTAGTAAGTCACACACTGTAACCAACCAAGAGTAAGTCACACACTGTAATCAACCAAGAGTAAGTCACACACTGTAACCAACCAATAGTAAGTCACACACTGTAACCAACCACCAGTAAGTCACACACTGTAATCAACCAAGAGTAAGTCACACACTGTAACCAACCAAGAGTAAGTCACACACTGTAACCAACCAATAGTAAGTCACACACTGTAATCAACCAAGAGTAAGTCACACACTGTAACCAACCAATAGTAAGTCACACACTGTAACCAACCACCAGTAAGTCACACACTGTAACCAACCAATAGTAAGTCACACACTGTAACCAACCAATAGTAAGTCACACACTGTAACCAACCAAGAGTAAATCACACACTGTAACCAACCAAGAGTAAGTCACACACTGTAATCAACCAAGAGTATGTCACACACTGTAATCAACCAACAGTAAGTCACACACTGTAACCAACCAATAGTAAGTCACACTGTAACCAACCAATAGTAAGTCACACACTGTAACCAACCAAGAGTATGTCACACACTGTAATCAACCAATAGTAAGTCACACACTGTAACCAACTAATATAAAGCCACACACTGTAATCAACCAATAGTAAGTCACACACTGTAACCAACCAAGAGTAAGTCACACACTGTAACCAACCAATAGTAAGTCACACACTGTAACCAACGAAGAGTCAGTCACACACTGTAACCAACCAATAGTAAGTCACACACTGTAACCAACCAATAGTAATTCACACACTGTAATCAACCAATAGTAAGTCACACTCTGTAACCAACCAATAGTAAGTCACACACTTTAACCAATCACGAGTAAGTCACACATTTTAACCAACCAAGAGTATGTCACACACTTTAACCAACTAACATTGAGTCACACACTGTAATGAACCAGGAGTAAGTCACACACTGTAATCAACTAATATTAAGTCACACACTGTAACCAACCAAGAGTAAGTCACACACTTTAATCAACCACCAGTAAGTCACACACTGTAACCAACTAATATTATGTCACACATTGTAACCAACCAATAGTAAGTCACACACTGTAATCCATCAATATTAGATCACACACTGTAATCCATCAATATTAGGTCACACACTGTAATCCATCAATAATAGGTCACACACTGTAATCCATCAATAACAGGTCACACACTGTAATCCATCAATAATAGGTCACACACTGTAATCCATCAATAATAGGTCACACACTGTATTCCATCAATAATAGGTCACACACTGTAATTCATCAATAACAGGTCACACACTGTAATCCATCAATAATAGGTCACACACTGTAATCCATCAATAACAGGTCACACACTGTAATCCATCAATAATAGGTCACACACTGTAATCCATCAATAATAGGTCACACACTGTTATCAACCAATAGTAAGTCACATGCTGTAATTCACCAATATTAAGTCAAGTATGGGAATACAAGTCTGGGTAAAATAGGGAACTGTGACTCTTGTAAGTGACTGTTGTGTTGGAGTAGGTCGCTCAGTAGGCCACTGTTGTGTTGGAGTAGGCTGCTCAGTAGGCCACTGTACAATGTAGTAGGCAGCTCAGGAAGCCCCTGTTGTGCTAGAGTAGGGAGCTCAGTAGGCCACAGTTGTGCTAGAGTAGGGAGCTCAGTAGGCCACAGTTGTGTTGGAGTAGGGAGCTCAGTAGGCCACAGTTGTGTTGGAGTAGGGAGCTCAGTAGGCCACAGATGTGCTAGAGTAGGGAGCTCAGTAGGTCACTGTTGTGTTGGAGTAGGGAGCTCAGTAGGCCACAGTTGTGTTGGAGTAGGGAGCTCAGTAGGCCACTGTTGTGCTAGGGTAGGGAGCTCAGTAGGCCACTGTTGTGTTGGAGTAGGCTGCTCAGTAGGCCACTGTACAATGTAGTAGGCAGCTCAGTAGGCCACTGTTGTGCTAGAGTAGGGAGCTCAGTAGGCCACTGTTGTGTTGGAGTAGGGAGCTCAGTAGGCCACTGTTGTGTTGGAGTAGGCTGCTCAGTAGGCCACTGTTGTGTTGGAGTAGGGAGCTCAGTAGGCCACTGTTGTGTTGGAGTAGGGAACTCAGTAGGCAGCTTAGTAGACCACTGTTCAATTGAGTAACACTGTTAGTTGAGGCCACTGTTATGTTGGTGTATGGAGTTCAGTAGGCCACTGTTGTGTTGGGGTAGGGAGCTCAGTAGAGCACTGTTGTGTTTGAGTAGGCAGCTCAGTAGGCCACTGTTGTGTTGGGGTTAGCAGCTCAGTAGCCCACTGTTCTATGGAGTAGGTAGCTCAGTAGGGCACTGTTGTGATGGAGTAGGCAGCTCAGTAGGCCACTGTTGTGTTGGAGTAGGGAGCTCAGTAGGCCACTGTTGTGTTGGAGTAGGGAACTCAGTAGGCAGCTTAGTAGACCACTGTTCAATTGAGTAACACTGTTAATTGAGGCCACTGTTATGTTGGTGTATGGAGTTCAGTAGGCCACTGTTGTGTTGGGGTAGGGAGCTCAGTAGAGCACTGTTGTGTTTGAGTAGGCAGCTCAGTAGGCCACTGTTGTGTTGGGGTTAGCAGCTCAGTAGCCCACTGTTCTATGGAGTAGGTAGCTCAGTAGGGCACTGTTGTGATGGAGTAGGCAGCTCTGTAGGCCACTTGTGTTGGGGTTAGCAGCTCAGTAGGCCACTGTTCTATGGAGTAGGCAGCTCAGTAGAGCACTGTTATGATGGAGTAGGCCACTGTTATGTTGAAGTAGGCAGCTCAGTAGGCCACTGTTCTATGGAGTAGGCAGCTCAGTAGGCCACTGTTGTGATGGAGTAGGCAGCTCAGTAGGCCACTGTTGTGATGGAGTAGGCAGCTCAGTAGGCTACTGTTTTGCTATAGTACCCATGTTTTGTACAAGACAGTAACTCTGTTGTGTAAGCGTGTCATACTGAACTCTGTTCTTCTGTTTCAGGCTACTTATAGGAGCACCCAAGGCCCAGACTTCACAGCCAGGAATAGTAAAGGGTGGTGCTGTTTACAGGTGTACCATCAATACGACAAATTATTGTCGGGAAATTCCTTTTGATGAAAGTGGTAAGTCTGTGTATTATACACCGATCATTACACCCGGGTCCACATGCATGAAGCATTCTTTGTCTTACGATGATCACAATGCCTTACTTTAACATACACTTACGATATTCGTATCTCTAAGACGTCTTTACGCATGTGAACCCAGGGTGTACAAAGTAATGTTAGCACAAAGGTCATCATAACTCCCATACCTTAACATAGACCTATGATAGTTGTAGCTCTAAGCTTGCTTTGTGCAAGTGGGCGACATCAATTTACGATCTTGTTGTATGAATATACCTTCATGAAATATTGCAGAAATGGACTTTAAGTTTAAATGATGTGTTTCATGTAGATTATGGATATGTTGAACTTTTAATTTTTGCTTTAAGAAAGCATAAACAATTATTTCTTATCATTCCTGATGATATGATATTTGTGTCCTGTATCTAGGTATATGCCCCAAGAATATCTGCGACCCAAGAATAACCTAGCTAGGCTGTTTTATGATTCATTTGTATGCAGGGATTTAGATAGACCTGCTTATACTCCGTGTCCCTGTGTCTGCTGTCAGTGTCAGTTAAATTCCCTAATGTGGATGAGTAACTTTCCCAGTTCTTGTCATGGTAATTGTAACCAGAGTTATGGATTGACAGAGGCGCCTCATGCACTGCTCTGATAGCAAGTCCAGTAAACAGGGAGAGGGTTTAATGCTTAGTTTTTCGTTATTGCATTGAGGTAATGTTATAATATGTCTGAATTTAAGGAAATAGGAACAATAAAAATCCTATCAATTTTGCAGAAAGTAACAAATATTTTACAGATTGGAATTCTATGGCATCCTGTCTTATAATGTACTCTTCTGTTTCTGTAGGTTTTCGAAAACCATTCAGAGACATTGCCCAAGTTTGATTCAAGTTATGTTATAAATTACACTTCTTTCATTATGAGATTTTTCTGTTTGTTTTTTCAGGAAATAATTTAAAATATGTAGCTAGAATCAATGACTATAGAGAAATAGACGACAAATCTAACCAATGGTTTGGGGCCACTGTACAAAGTTCTGGACGGAATGGAGTCATTGTGGTAAGTCCTCAGTTTCTGTTTCAGGGAAAGTTTACTTGTTGAGTTGTTATCTTTCAGATTTCTTACATCCCTTGTGGACATTGTTTCAGACATTAGACCTGAAACCTTTCACGTAATGAGCCACATGGCTCCATAACACTTTCTTGAAGGAGCTAAACAGAATTTGAACGAGTCAAGGCAGAATGTAGGGAGCCGAAAGAGCATTACTTTAAGCTCTCCTCCCCCTGCAAGCTGACACACTGGAATATATCTGTTCAAAGCGTGGGTGAACTCAATTTACTTGCTCAGGTTTTCCTGCATCAGGAATCATGGTATCTGATGTAAAATTGTCTCACCCTGACCTTCTGCTTTCACCAAAGAAAAATACACATCTTGTTAAAAAAAATTAATAACTACATTTTAAAAATTATGTTGTCTGTGAAGGAAGTGCGCTACAACATCTCAAGTAAACCACAAAGTGGCAGGCAATTACTGTTATCATGACAGCTGAGGATATCTGCCTGGAATTATTAAGAAAAAACTTTTCTTTGAATGTTTAGGGCTCTTAACAAAATAACATACCTTCATGGAGGATGTTATGTTTTACTACCTATACTCTTGGATAAAAAAATCAATTGCCCCTCCCTGACCCTTGTCACAAATGACTGGTCCCTGGAGCTACTGTGTCTGAATGTCAGATTGCGTTCTGGGTTGAACCAAATTATTGTCCGCCGATCCCAAGGGGAGGTAATACTAATATAGCAGCTCCGCTGTCTGAAAACTGGATTTAATGTGTTTACATACATTGGGCTGGGCAGGACCTCCTCCCTGGCTTCCATAGAGAATATTACTACCCAAATATATAACATATCTACAGCATGACTTGAGTCACCAGGTTCTGTACGTCCTGGATTGAGTGTGGACCTCTTGTCTCCAGTACCGTACACATTCTTGTAAACGGACCTGTGTAAAACACAGCACCTTCAGGTCGTCTTGGTGCTTCCATGGACTGAAGTTAATTGCATGTCTTGTTAATGAGTTACACATTGTTTACATGCAGGCAGTAACATATCACTGCATTGATTTGTGTTATATGACGAGACAACCCATGGTTGACTTTGATCTGTGTTATATGGACTTGATATGACTTTGATCTGTGTTAGACAACCCATGGTTGACTTTGATCTGTGTTATATGACGAGACAACCCATGGTTGACTTTGATCTGTGTTATATGACGAGACAACCCATGGTTGACTTTGATCTGTGTTATATGACGAGACAACCCATGGTTGACTTTGATCTGTGTTATATGACGAGACAACCCATGGTTGACTTTGATCTGTGTTATATGACGAGACAACCCATGGTTGACTTTTGATCTGTGTTATATGACAACCCATGGTTGACTTTGATCTGTGTTATATGACGAGACAACCCATGGTTGACTTTGATCTGTGTTATATGACGAGACAACCCATGGTTGACTTTGATCTGTGTTATATGACGAGACAACCCATGGTTGACTTTGATCTGTGTTATATGACGAGACAACCCATGGTTGACTTTGATCTGTGTTATATGGTTGACTTTGAGACAACAACCCATGGTTGACTTTGATCTGTGTGTTATATGACGACACAACCCATGGTTGACTTTGATCTGTGTAATATATGACGAGACAACCCATGGTTGAGACAACCCAACCCATGGTTGACTTTGATCTGTGTTATATGACGGTTGACAACCCATGGTTGACTTTGATCTGTGTTATATGACTAGACAACCCATGGTTGACTTTGATCTGTGTTATATGACGAGACAACCCATGGTTGACTTTGATCTGTGTTATATGACGAGACAACCCATGGTTGACTTTGATCTGTGTAATATGTGAGACAACCCATGGTTGACTTTGATCTGTGTAATATGACCAACCCACGGTTGACTTTGATCTGTGTTATCTGTGTTATATGACGAGACAACCCATGGTTGACTTTGATCTGTGTAATATATGACGAGACAACCCATGGTTGACTTTGATCTGTGTAATATGATGAGACAACCCATGGTTGACTTTGATCTGTGTAATATGACGAGACAACCCATGGTTGACTTTGATCTGTGTAAGTCACTGAAGTGTTTACTGTAGTATTGTGACTGTACTATTGATAAAAGCAGTCCCGTTTTCTTCAGCTGATAAACCCGGCTAGTGACTATGTCTCTTCAACTAATTCGTCCACATAACTGACCCGTGTTGTCAACAACCGGACCTTTTTCTACACTCAATTGATTTCTTGTGATCACTGGACTTATTTTAGAGACTTGGTCAGATTGATAAAATATGCAAAAGTATTCATAAAGTTAACAATATTTATTTTTGATAACACCTTACAATGTTGATTGTTTTGTTGGGTGGAAAATTGGAAGTTGAGTATTTTTCACAGAGGGAAAGAATCCAGATTTATGTATTAAAGTTGACATTATTTAGAAGATATACGGTACACTGTCATCCTCTAGGGCGTCTTCTATTTCTGTAGCCAGGGTGGGGTTCTACAACTTCCCGATTTTACTTCTGGTTTAAACGTGGTTGTGAAAACTGGTTGAGCACTGACTCCAGTTACATCTGTGTGTAGTTGTCCCTATGAGGAATCTCCGATTGCAGGTCCGCTGGGCTGCCATGTGTCTTTAGCCTCAAAAACAAGGGCCAAATCACGGCCAGTGTCATAACTGTTGTAGAAAATTCAGCAAATGTAAAATATCTGAGTGTAAGAATCCAGTCCAGTTACATCGTGTGGAGTGTTGGGATCACAATAGCCTTGCTCCAAGGCTGTACTGAGGGCTAAGCCCATGGATGTATACTAATTCTGTCCTTGAAAGAGTGAGTGAGTGAGTGAATATTTAATGTCACATCAGCAATATTTCAGCCATATCGTGATGAGAACATTTGATATTGAAATGAATTATATGTATGTTATAAAAAACTGCCGACGAAGGACAGTAAAACAACTAGAATATCACAGATATAAATGTAAAACTAGTAACTGAATCTAGAACATTTTAACTATAGGGGACAACACAATATAAAAATGGGCTATAGATCGCCAACAACTGAAGGTAGATCACCATTCTAGGAGCCATGGACGGGGGTGAAGAGCCATTGGCGTCACCCAGCACCCACCACGAGGAGGTTGCTCTTCAAGGGTGCCTGTCCTGGAAAGAGGCAAGTCTAGATAAGCAGACAGGGTGACAGTCTGTTAGAGGAATATTTATATTTTATAGAAATTATTTTTTTAAACTATTAATTATTACCATAAAGACTTGTGCAAGTCTAGGATCAGAACGATGTAATCATGTTGTTGTTTCATCAGTTTGTTGTACTTTGTATTCCCGGAGATCAGATTGTAGTAAAACACTGATCTGATTACACATTGTTACCCTCCATTGCTACTGTGTCATACCGTTAGTAATATGTATAGTGGCCCCAATACATTGTATACCTGTGTTTGAGAGAGCATATATAACAATAGATGAGAAATAATGTAAGATACTGTGAACCAGTAGATATCACATTGTGTTACAGTGTATTAGATAAGCATGATGTAACATTCTATGACAGAGTATATATAGAACAGGTTATATACATGTGACACATTTCACCAGACTTTCACCAAATATTTGGTGTAACACTGTGTAATATGGTTGACTGTGATCAGCACTGTCAGCACTGCTCATCCACTGGACCCAAGTTCTGCTTGAAGCTCTTATATGACTTCATCGGTATATTAGACACTCATGGTATGACACTATCACAGTATAAGACCTGTGGTATAACACTGTATCGCAGTATAAGACCTGTGGTATAACACTGTATCGCAGTATAAGACCTGTGGTATAACACTGTATCACAGTATAAGAGACACAAGGTATAACACTGTATCGCAGTATAAGAGACACAAGGTATACCACTGTATATCAGTATATATAGACACAAGGTATACCACTGTATATCAGTATATATATGACATAAGGTATATATAGGTATATGACACATATAAGTATACCACTATACCGTATATCAGTACCACATGGTATATATCAGTATATATATGACACAAGGTATACCACTGTATATCAGTATATATATGACACAAAGGTATATATCAGTATATATAGTATATATATGACACACACTGTATATCAGTATATATACCACATACTGTATACCACTGTATAGGACACAAGGTATACCACTGTATATATCAGTATATATATGACACATGGTATATATCCACACAAGGTATATCAGTATATATACACACAAGGTATACCACCACACAGGTATATGTATATCAGTATATATACCACATACACTGTATCAGTATATATACCACAGTATATCAGTATATATACCTAAGGTATACCACTGTATATCAGACACATACCACTGTATATCAGTATATATATGACACAAGATATCACACAAGGTATACCACTGTATATCAGTATATATACCACACAAGGTATACCACTGTATATCAGTATATATACCACACAAGGTATACCACTGTATATCAGTATATATATGACACATGGTATACCACTGTATATCAGTATATATATGACACAAGGTATACCACTGTATATCAGTATATATACATGGTACACAAGGTATACCACTGTATATCAGTATATATATGACACATGGTATACCACTGTATATCAGTATATATACCACAATGTATATCAGTATATATACCACTGTATACCACTGTATATCAGTATATATATGACACAAGGTATACCACTGTATATCATATGACACATAGCTTATACCACTGTATATCAGTATATATATATATCAGACACATATGTATACCACTGTATATCAGTATATATATGACACAAGGTATACCACTGTATATCAGTATATATATGACACAAGGTATACCACTGTATATCAGTATATATATGACACAAGGTATACCACTGTATATCAGTATATATATGACACACCACTGT